ACCTAAAGTTAATAATTGATTTAAATTAAATATTGTGGGCCATCTTTTTATTATGCTTCTGGATATGCAAATAGTATGTATACAATTTATGGGTAGAACTTTAAGACTTTTATATGGTGTATTCATTTTTAAATGTGGGCTTGTAAGGTATCCGTAGATGTTTTTCCTATTTCATAGTGACATGTTATTACTGCTATAACTTCGCTTAAAATTAATACAATGATGTTCAATTTCTTTAAATCTAAAGGTAAGCATCTATCGTTGATATCATGCTTAAAGTTCGTCTATATCTGAGTCAAGTCCTAGAGAGAATATTCTTTTTAGTTTATAAGAAATCCATCTCATGAAAGTGTCGGAAAACTTGTGTTTGTAATAGGCTATAATAAGAATTATTATTGAGTAATAAGGCCATTTTATCAGCAAAAATGTAAAAATACGTTAGTAAATATACTTTGCGATAATTTAACACATTAAGATATTCATATATTAGCTATACTGACCAGTTGGGCCGACTACTAGCGTAGACACTTGGTGCGTCAGGTAAAGTGAAAGAAAGTACTCCAACCGGACAGTCTCAACAGTGGGTACAATGAGATCTGATGGATTGGGCAAATTTGTGGTCATTTTACTACCACCACCTTCATCTGCTGTGGTGGCAGTTGATGCTTCTCCCATAGCAGATTGCACGATGCTTCCCCACTCTAGCCAGTTGCCTGTCCCTTTTTTCTCAAACCAGAAGTCATATACGGTTAATCGGTCCGGAAAAGAGTTTCCTTTGGTCAATTTGATAGATTTAGGTTTCTGGTATCGGTTGTCAGTGCCTGATACTAGGTCGCGAAATGCTGAGTCAAAATGGGATCGTGAGTCGCATGGTAAGACAGAGCCAAGACTCCACACTAGTGAAAAAAGGAAGATCCCTTGAATCCACAAGTAGACAGTTTGTGCAGTCATACCACTGGCTGTAGGCGCAGTTGAATTTGCCTTGTCGTCTTCTGTTCTGGTTTGAGATGCGCCAGCATTATCAGGAAGATTAGCTAATAGAAGATTTTATGTATTTAAAATTAATTAAAATCTTATATTACTGAAACATGTTAATGCTTGATTATTCTTATGCAATATGTATATTAGGAAGTATTTACGAAAATATTTAGGTACATAGTTTATTTTCATGTGCGAAATCAATAGATAAATAAAAATATTTTATAGATAATTAAGTCTAGAGTTTAAAAATAGTAGGATGCCCTAAATACTTTCATAATATCACCTATCTTGTCACATTACTTTGCCTCCTGAATACAATAAAATGGTTTAATGAAATAAATTACTGGTCGTCTCGAAACTCTGTTTTGCAACTTGATCGTATTGGCAGAATGACCTAGAGGAACGAACATAGTCCGAAGTCAATAGTATGCATGATTGTTTCCAGAAGCCGACCGTGGATTTGGTACATTCCCAGACGCCTCGCCGGCATCGTAGTTGGCATAGTCAGTGAGCCTCGCCACACTTAGCACCACACTACAACTCGTCAAAGAGCAAAGTAAGGTCGAACTTTTGACTAACAATTTGCTAAACAGTTATAGTAACTGTTCTTTCACACTGGGCTGTTCACCAATTCTATATCCTCCTGTCCCTTTTTCACTATCACAATTTCTTAATTGCTTATTCAAATGCGGTATGGTGTGCGCTTTTGAGCGGATTTCATGAGATCTCTTTACACACCACCCTACTACCATTGTGCTGGTAAAGTTTATCTGAATTTGCTATATTATTCCACAAGCTTCTTCCTTTAAGTCCTATCAGAGTCTCCCACTTGACCCCTGGCCCCCTATCTTCGCTACTCGATTTGTTATTTCCCACACTCTTCCCCAAGCCTTTGATGGCACGTATACTCCCACCTCGCTGAGTAGGCCCTGAAAATTAGCATTCTAAAGCTGGTTGGAAAACTAACTTGAGGCTATAGATCTCGAGTAATTTTCATTGTCAAGCCTTTACTTCATCGACCACGTCTATGGTCATGCACGCCTACTGTTAATCAACGAGCTCTAGTCTCAGCAGCATCTATCATGCTTCTATCCATAATGTCATGTCTATGACTACCTATACCCTAGTCTCTTGTGTGCTAACCCACATCGAGACACTTGTTTTGCTTAAACTCACAATAAACGATTGTTCCTAACTGGTCTCCTTGCGATTTCGTTTCTTAAAATTAAAGAAGCTGCCTTGATCCAGTCGTCTTCATTTTCCTCATCTCACTATTGCTCGAACTTCTCCGAGTTTGCCTATGGAATACACAAAGTTTTCGCTAATACTAACTTGTTGAAGTCTCCTGTTCGATTTCACTCTATAAATATATCGATGGCCTCTGGTATCTTGCCAGCCTATCTGTTGATTTCCACTCGATTTCGTGCCCCGTCCGTGAGATATGTTTTGCTATTTTGGATCTTTCCTAATCCATGTTTTACAGAGTCTTTGATCTTCCATGATTCGTATACCTATTTTTCTTCCCTTTTCCCCAATAGACTTCTGCTCATAGTTGATGCATTTGATGCTATAGACTCCCGAGCAATTCAGTTTGTTAATCTTCTTGTGGTGCATTAGCAGACTAGTGAAAAGTGCTGTCTTCTTCTTTGCTACAACCTTGATATTCCATTTTCTTAGTATCGGACATAACTTGTGGCTCAGTCCATATGGGGGCAGGTCTATCCACATTTGCTGGTCCTCCTGATTTTTGATCGAATTTTCATAAAGTCCATGGTATAAATCTGCTCTTTTTGACACCTACATTTCTTTCTATATAGGAGTAAAGTGGAATACCTGAACCAGGGAGTTGGGAAAGGAATCTTACGGCGCAGGTGTGGGACTCTGATAGGACTTATGCGAAGAAGTTTGCGGAATAATATGGCAAATTCAGATAAACGTTTCCAGCACAATGGCAAGGGGGTAGCATGAGAAAGCCAGCGTGGGTTGTGGGTGAAATCCGCTCAAAAAGGCACGTCAGAGCGCATTTAAATAAGTAATTAATAAATTGTGATAGGAGAATATAATATAGGTGAATAGCCTAGAACAGAAGCAGAGATACCACAACTATATAGCAAACAATTGGTCAAAATATCGACTTCACTATTCTCTTTAACGAATTGTAGGCTGGTGCTAATTGTAGCAAGGCTCACTGACTATGCCGACTACGACGCTGGCAAGACGTCTGGGAATGTACCAACTCCACGGTCCGCTTCTGCAAATTTGTATGCAAACTATGGACTTCGGACTATGTGCGTTACTCTAGATCATCCTACCAATGAGACCAAGTTGCGAAAACAAGTTCAACCAACTACTATACAAAGAAAGGCAACCGCCACTATAGATAAGGCCACACTGTCTTAATCTCCATGCCTTCTATTAAAATAGCTTTTGATTTCGCTAAGTGGTCACGAAATAATAACTCCCCATTTAAACACGATATGCTTAGCGCTCTATCTTATCTCCTAACCAAAGGAATGAATGTCTGAAAGATTATCCAAGAAGGTAGCATGAAGAACGAATAAATTACCAGATTCCGATTTCGCCCATGAACGAATCTCGTCAAGGAGGGAATCGAACAGCCTAATCAATTGAGTGACGCCATGAATATCTGAGATCTGCATTGATTGACGACAGCTGGTACGTATTATCTCCAGACTAGGATCCACCAGCCATTCAAATAAGTCAGAAATTAGCTCTAGGTGTTCCTCCTGAAGGCCTAAAATGATAAATAGACTGTTAACTATCGCATGTCAAAATTAATTAAATTAAGCATCCTTATAAATAGTGCATAAAAAGTATTTAGGATTATAAGGATTAAATACGATCAAGTAGCAAAATGCTTATTATGCATGAAGGGCAAATATTTCCTTTGCCACTTAAACCACATCTAATATTCAAATGATATACTCGTAAATTAATTACAAAATCACCCATTTTTACTTGGCTGCGAGAATTGTACATATGATTGCGCAGTAAAATCAACTTTTTCGTATCTGCTTATTTTTCCGACGTAAAATCTTAATAATGCTATTTTTTCAATTTTTACTATGATTCCTAAGTGAAAAATGATTTTAACTTCTGATCTCATGAGAAATTAAGCCTATTCATAGATAATGAATATAACGGTAAGGAAAAGAAAACGCAAATAAAAATGATAGTCTAATTGGTTATAAAATATTTTCTTAATAGTTCGGTCTTCATTTTGTGATTAGCTTACATTTATTAATGTAAATAATTATAAAAGGCCTAAGCATACTTTGAGAGTACTAGGCTATTAAATTATAAATAAGAAAAACAAAATAGTGGGCGCTTAGGTTTTGTCGCAGTCTATACGACCTGGTTAGCATTTTGTTTTGGTATAACCCTATTCTCGCAACGTGGTCGAACCCGCCTCTGTTATAATATGTTCCAGCATTGGACTTTTGAATTAGTTAATTCCCAGAGGTTTATCTGTCACCCCGAGTAAGAGGCATGATCCTTGATACAGAGTTTCGAACGGACAATTTCAAGTGCCCTGTGCTGAGTATGGTTCATCTTATTAATAATACCGGCAAGGCGTCTGGAAATGTTCCAAGTCGGATGCTGGAAATTATCCGACCTAGGTATGTCTCAAGGGTCCTGGCGATCAAGGAAAGTCGCAGAATCACGGTACTATACGCTTAATTGTGCTATTAGATGTAGTCATAATTAAATAACTCAAACTACCCATTATTAATATTATTTACTGAAAAATGCAAAAACGAGAAAACTTTCCTCAGTATTGCCTGCCTTAAAATGCAGGAGCGGCGTCAATCAAACACTGTTGATAATAAGGTAGCCACTATAAATGCAGCGCCCTAGCAACTTGAATAAAATAGATCTTACTGAATACTGACCTACCTTCAGGCAAATTGTGCTGGATATATGATTGAACTGACGGCCGCCAACCAAGCTGCATTGGCTCCATATAGATCATTCCACATCGAGATACAGTTGCTGGGCTAGCCTGTTCCAGGTCTGCTGGCTCAAAAATTAAATTCATTTGATTTGACATTTGAATAATCTCTCCAGACATCAAGCAGAGCTTCTTGTTATCATCAAGAACTGTGTTCATATTCTCGATCCACACAGCATCCACTGGTCCATCAAAGAGTATCCAGCGTCGACGAGTATCTTGGGCAACTGCGAACTCTCGAAACATCACCGCCAGTATCCCATCAGACCACTCGTGGGAGACAGGATCAAATTGCCCATAAAGTTGACCCATAAGGATTGACTTGGGATTAATTATTCCATATATCACAGGATTTTCATTCATTTCTTGCTGCTCAGCCAGTTGGCTTAAAGCATTTGCCAATGTTTGATAAGCTTGTGTTTTTCCACCCATTGGATCCCCAACAATCATTAGGCCATGCCTAACCAATATCATCTCGTAGATCTATAATGGTTAGTAAGTCAGATATGCCTTTCATTGAAATAACTCAAATAATTTTCATATTATAACAGTATAAGTAAAAGGTTCTGAATTTCCTTTTATATAAATCTAATAATCATTATTTGATCTACAATGGCAACTGGGCTAAATTCTACCTTTCCATAAAAATAAGCAGTCTTGTCACTTTAGGTCACATAAGTTTATGAAGGTATGTTAGTCGAATTTTACCTCAATGATATGAATGCTTTCATAATGTTAATGAATTTTACTTTTCCATGCCCACAAAAAATATTCTCATTCAGGATAACCCTCAGTTTAGCTATTCCTTGTGTCACATCAGCAACCCCTATAGGGCTCAAACCCGTATCGCGCGTCTAAAGTGTTCACACATTATCACGAGGCCATGGGTCTTAATCTAATAGAGTAGAAGTGACTTTTATCGTTTGGCGAGTATTATTGACAATTCCATGATAAATATGGTCTGGAAGAGAGCTGGCTTACCTTTTCAGTTGTGTTGAACTTCCCAGGCATCATTAGGCATAATCATATCATTGTGGGAAAATTCAAATGACCTTCCTTGATGACCTTATATTATTTGTGGTGGCTATTATTCATGTTCAATATTTACTGATATTGTAAAAACCTCTAAGTATAAATTCATCTTTATCAAATATTCTCTGCCTTAACTTGTTTTAACCTAATATAATATAAAGCTAGAAGTAAGATCCAAGTATAGGTTTATAACGCGATTAGTTCGAGAGAAATTTGCATTTAAGCTTGCTAAGTGAACAAAAAAATCCTATATATATACATATATGTATGTATATTATAGTTAGCATATTTACTAATAGAAATAGGTAAAACTTTATCCTAGGCATATTCATCCTGAGAAATTGTGACTTCTTGAAAAAAGCGGCAAATAATAGCAGCAATACTGGAGTCTAATCGAGGGTATGAATATTAAGATTGTGTGACCGAGTTGCGAAAGCAAGTTAAACAACTACAATACTGGAGTATGCTAAAATAATTTAGGAAAAAATAAATAGCTTAATTCTGCCTCATGTATATTGGACTTTAAAAGCATCAACCATACTATATATGACTGCTAATTAACAGAGTGAAAATCGAATACCTAAAAATAAGCTTCTTACTTCAATTTGAAAACAACCTCAGGAAGTAACTAGGCTGAAATTATAAGTTTTCTGGACTCTTCCTTTCGATAATGAAAGTATGAAATCTGCCTAATCTATTATTTTAATATAATTTCTAGATTTATGATATAAATATGTCATTAAGTTCACGTTTCCTAGTTTTATTAAGCTTTCTACTAAAGTATTAATAAATGGGGCTGCTGTACATAATTAAATCACTATTTCATTTATGTTAGTTTACATCTCTTCACTGTTGGTGCAGATGCCAAATAGCAATTTCATTACTAGAAATTTTATTATAACATAAATAATATATGAATAGGTGATCGACCTCAGATAATATGAGATTTAATAAAAGGAGTATATAACACTATTTTACGAATCGTAGGTTCCATGATGGTAGGCGACACTATTAAAGAACACTACGCAGTCAAAAAGCAGCACTAAATATGGCAATATATACGCGTTTAGAATCAAAAAGGTGCCCGTGACAGTAATTAGCCTGTTAGATATGTTAGTCTAAGTTAAGCAGAGTAAGTTAAATGCATACCTATTAATTCTAAAAAAAATAATATACTAATAAATAATAGGAGATAGAAATTTTTATATTATGAGTTGTACACCCAATAGATATATGGCATTAAGCGTCTTATAGCTTAATTTTCCCAAAATAAGTGAGTAGGCCTCAAGGTACCATTAAACTTAACTCAACTTTAATCGAAGATATGAAGACCAAGATGGTGTGGCTCCGGCGATGATCGCATTATCCTTTCGATTTATGGAAGTGGGTTGAACTCGTTGTCGCAACTTGGTCTTGTTGTCAGGGTGACTTTGTAGAACGCACCTTGTCCGAAGTCCTCTGTCATAGTAGTTATCATAATTCCAAGCATCAGACTGTGGACTTGATAAATTCTCAGACGTTTCGCCGGAACAAGTTAGAGACGATGAGCTCTTAGCTTGGTGCGGAGAATGACAAGACTCAATGATAATGTCTTCTGCGATGCTGGCGAGACGTCTGAGAATGTATCAAGTCCACAGTCTAATGCTTTGAATTATGATAACTACTATGGCAGAGGATTTAGGACAAGATACGTTCTACGAAGTCACCCTGACAACAAGAACAAGTTGCGAAAACGAGGTCAATCTACTTCACTCAACTTTGCTTCCCAAAACATATTCTTATCCATGATGGACTTTAGTCTTGATCTCGCCTGGATCTCATCAGCACCCCCAGGTCTTATACAAGATCTACCTGTAGTTTCGAAATATACTCATAGTAAGTATGTTCGATAATGATAGCAAATACGAATTTGTTTTTGAAAATCTATTACAGAATGTGGTAAGGGAAAGGCATGGCAAGACCTGAAACTCAAATCTACCCTTCGACGCATTTGAGCCCGAGGTAGTGTGGTGTAATGATGATATGTCTAAATTATACACTGCATTATCCAAGTTCAATTCCCCTTGGGCCAATGATAAAACCCAGGAGAGTTTTAAACTACAATCCACACTGGATAAAGATAACTTATAGAAAGCAAGGCTAATTCACATTCACTCGCATCATAAGACTTATCCATAACTTTGTGGGAAAATGTCATATATCAGTCTTCCATTACCTTATGTGACTTATGGCAAGACAGCTCTTATTCAAGACCTATTGATAGTCTTGAAACATGTGAGTTCTTAATATTACTAGAATATTCCTACAAAAAGCAATACAAGTCAAGTTGTTATAGGGTAATCTGTCAAAAATTCAATCGCAGCATAGTGTATTAATTTTAATATTACAAACTCAAAAGTGGCCAGCGATGCCAACATTGAAAGATTTAGCCTAATGAGGTTCGTAACTTTACGAATCAATGAAGACTTCATCGTCCGAAATTATGTAGGCTTGGAGATAAAAATGCAAATTAGTTATACAAAATTAGTTTGTCTAGGACTTTTCACGAGTCTCAAAAAAAATTGAAATTAAGCGTTAACGAATTTAAGGAAAATATTATTTGAACACTGAGATTCATAAAAGTAATTCTTATTTCCTTTGGATTCTGTAATGTACTCTGCTGCTGATTTTTCAAAGTAAGAAACTCATCACTTCTAGCGAATTTAATCATCTTAGTAAAATGAGGGTTCTGGAAGTAATACTTGCAAAATAATGGCAATGAGAATTGTTACTGCCTTCATGGCTTTCTAGGAAAAAGTGAATGGATGTCAGCTGTATATTTAAAAGCAAGTTTCACTATAAAAATACAAATACATGCATCTGATTACTAAACTTAAAATGCAACATATACACACATTGCAATTAATATTGCATCAGACGCCCATCCCGCAAAGACAGTAAAAAGAATAGGATGTATAACAGAGCTAGGCCTGCTAATTTCAGGGTAGATAATCATGTTGCATCAAATTATAACGGTGATTTATAAAAAAAATTCGATTAGCATGAAAATAATTTTAGAAAGAAAAAAATAGCCAAATTAATATGTTAGAAGATTGGCTAAAGTAAGAAGAAGACCTTTACCCAGTTTCGCAGAAGAAAATAAATTTGCTGGAAAGCTT